TTTTTTTCCCACAAGCTATGCATTTGATTTTCAATTTTATCACCTTCAAAGTACTCTCCATTATACAATACTTTTTGTCAAATCTGTGATTCCATTCTTGTAAACATTTTTCAAACTCATCTCTGGATGGCTGACAGCACCTCCCCTCTTTTTTCTTCACCTCTTCTAAGTTGACCAATAAGTGTACTTTCATGTCCCTCTTCATTCGATCAACCAAAAAGAAGTCACATGGAGCGAGGTCAGGTGAGTCAGGTGCATGGGGCATGAGAGGCATGCTGTGTTTTGTCAAAAAGTGGTGCATTGGGATGGCTGCATGAGCAGGCGCATTGTGTTGGTGGCAAAACCAGTCCTCTACCTGCCGGAAATCAGGCCATTTTTGTTGCACACTGTTATGCAGTCTTTTCAGAACCTCTAAATAGAAAGCCTGATGAACAGTCTGACCTGGTGGAATGAACAACAAATGAACTACAGAAAGGGGGAACCGATTACAAGGATCTACATGTGACCTCCTCCCTGGAGGATGACAACAGAAAAGTGTCGGACAGGGCAAGATATGACAAAATAATAATTTATAAATTATCAAGGGTTCATGAGGGAGGGGGGAGCAGCGAGGGAGGGGAAAAATGAGGAGTCGATGCCAGGGGCCTAAGTGGAGAGCAAATGTTTTGAGAATGACGAGGGCAATGAATGTACAAATGTGCTATACACAATTGATGTATGTATGGATTGTGATAAGAGTTGTATGAGCCCCTAATAAAACAATTAAAAAGAAATAAATCAAATGATCATAATGGGAAAAAAAACAAAAAAACAAATGAAATATGAGTCAACATTTTCATCTATTTGGGATATTGATGGAAGTCCTGAACATGATTTATCATCCATCGACATTTCACCTTTTTGGAAATGAGAAAACCGCTGATATGCTTGAATTTTTCCCATAATGCTGTCCTGATAAGCAATATTCATCACCCCAGCAGTTTCTGTGGCATATTTCCAGAGCAGGAAACAAAATTTCACAGCCACACACTGTTCTCTTAAATTGGTCACCACAAAAACAAGGTTCAAGTGAAACTGCTTTTATGAAAGAATTCACTCTGACCATAGAGAACCTTGCCAAGCAATGCCGCTGGGTGCACTAGCACAGAGCTGGTTGCTGGACGCTCGCCACGCTCGCCTAGCTGAAAAAAAAACGCATACTGCCAAAGCTCCGCCCTGCGGAGCTCTTTTCCACCCTTTTTCTTTCTTTCTTTCTTTCTTTTTTTGGGTACCCCCTTGCAATACTTTAATAGAAAGGCTGACAGTATTGCTGTTCTTGAAACTTTGTCATAATATTTTTATTCTCACAGTAGTAGGTCATTTTTATCTCTCTGAGTTATCAGTTGTTTACCAAGACATGTATGTTTTTCTAACTTTTGTTTGATAACTTCATATAAAGATTATCCAGAAAGTTTCATTGCTAAATAAATGCTCAACAAATGTGTGTGTGTGTGTGTGTTGCATAAAACCACAGGTTTTATTTGCATAAAACCTGTAAGAACCTTTCTGTCATGTGCCTTTTATTTTAACTATTGTTATAAGGGAACTGTAAAGACCTATTTTTTCTTTTGTTTTTTTATTCACTTCAATTTCCAAGTAGCCAATCCTAAAAAGATTTAATACATAGTCAGCACTGGCAAGGAGGCAATTATCACATCATCTAACTTTGGGGGGAAATAAACAACAGAAAACTAAGCAAGGATTACTTTAACTAAGAACATAGATTTTTGGTTCCTTAGAGAATAATGTAACATTTTAATTTATAATTCTGGTAAGAAATTACAAGTATTGATGAAATGAAATATGTTGGTAGAATGAAAATATAGGCATCTTCTATTCAGTCCTATCTATTTAGTCACTATAGTAGCACATTTGTTGCAGAAAAAATATATATCAAAGCAAGAAACACTTGTTGGGGAGTATGACATGAACCGCAAGGCAGTATGAGGCCAATCTGTACAATGCTTTATGAAAATGAGCAACTTTCATTTCCTTTTGTTTTATGAGACATATACCAACTATGTGAGACAATTTTCAAAATGACAGAGTGTTTTGATGAATTATGGAAATGATTATATTAACCACTTGTTTATACACGTATATTTCTGAAAATAAAATGGAATCTTAAGTCTTACATGCAAATATTTGCTCTGGTTTTGCCTTTTATTCCAATCCCACTTAAATTAAAAAAATATTGAGATGACTTATACAGATCACCAGGGAAGAATATTACATAATATTTCATTGAAAATTTATGCACTAATGTCTCCCATCAGAGAGTTCTTCTTTAATTAGAAATATGTGATCACATTCTGAAAAATCATCACTATTCACTGGCTGTATTGTTACATCATTAGCAGTTATTTTTTATGACCTGTCACTTTGTAATATGTTAGCAAAGTATAAGCTTTGGAAGTAATTTCACTTGGTTGGAGGCATTTAATTATGTCATATACACTATACATTTTTATTGGGTATGTTTTAATTTTTTATTTGTTTATTCTTTATGCCCTGCATGCCCTCAATTATTTTAGACAGCTTATTTTAATTATAATCCTATTGGCTCACTTCCTCAGAGATGTCCAGATTTTTCTGCCCCATTCAAAAGCGCAGCATGTAGAACTGAAAATGGTAGTCCTTTGTTCTGATTCTCATACCATATTTCGAATTATGTGTTTTTCAGAGGTTAATATTATGTGGGCTGGCCACCAAACACACCACAGTTCTGAAGACTATAACTTATCCACAGCATTGAGACAATCTGTCTTGCAAATATATACTTCCTGGGTAAGTTGTCTGGCATTGAATCAAGTTGATTATATAATTTTTCAAGTTTAAACTGCTTCTATTTGCACTCTGTAAACTAATAGGAGATGTTGCACTGAGAGCTTCTTTTTCATCTGCATGACCCTAGGCACAAGAAGCAAGTGATCTTGACCAATAGCTGTCTTCCAGTTGCCTCCAACCATTAACCGGGAGGTATTTATATGGCAAAGTGAGCAAGTGACTGCTTTTATTTTATGTACTTGTCAACTAGGAAGGCAGTATCAAGACAATTGATCTCAATCCAAATAGATGCAGACAAAGATTTCATTACACGTGTTACAAAGCAAACTGAAAATCATAATAATTTCCATTTCCAAGTAAAATCTACTAGGACCCTTTGTATTTGTTGTTCTATTAGAGAAATCTATATGATACTCAACAAAAGTCGGGCTCTAAGATATCTCCACACAGGAATATGACAACAATAATGGATTGTAGGAACAACCTCAAGTTTTAGGATTCTTCATGATCTGCTGTGGAATCTTGATTCATTTGGTAATTTCCTTCATGTATTACTACCCTTACTTAACTGTTCCAGGTGATCCAATATACATGATGATTAAATGGATGCTGGACATTGAACTGGAAATTTAGAATTATAACTTTAAAGGATATTTAATCCAAAAGTTATTTGTTGCGTATGGATTAAGGGATCATAAAAAGGACTCCTGGTCTAGTAACCAACCAAGTAGGAAGGTCAAACCCAGTAGCACCTTTCAGGAGAAAGATGATGCTATTGGCTCGCCAAAACATTTACATCCTGGGAAACCTTAGGGAGCAGTTTTGCTCTTTTCTATAGCATTAGCAGGTGTCAGAGTCAATTAGATGGCAGGGGGCAGGGTTGTACCAGATGATTTTCTAAGATATTTTTACATATTAACTCATCCGATCCTCAGAACAACATTAAGAGATAAGCACTAGTTGAACTCTGAGTTTTGAAACAGTGGTACCATGTCCATAGTTAAAGTCACACAGCTGGTAAAAAAGTAGAACAATGTAGTCTAGCTTCAGAGTCCCTAAGTTTAATACTTATGGTTTGTAAACTTATCTGTGTGCCTCTGTATTTTTCTCAGATACATATATTTTGACCCCCTCCCCTCCCTTAAATAGTTGCATATGATGCTAAATCCAGTATTATTTCTATCAGAGAACTGGAGATAAGGGAGATTAATTACAAATCTTATAAGAGAAAAAAACAAACAACCAGGAACTTCAAACCCTATGCTTCTGAGCAAATGGAAAGTTATAAGGGCATACGAACTAACCAAACCTCAGCATAGTTAATCCCACACTGCAAGCTAGTACATCGCTATCCAGAATGTTAGAATAAATTCATCCTCATCTCCATTACCCAAGATATATATACCAGTGTTTACCGTTTTAAGCAATAGTCATAGAAAATAAAGTTGTTCTTTATCCCCTATAACTTGTGCTGAAACACTGCTGAGTTGAAAAGGGCCCATTTCAGGGTTGCATAGCTCAAGTTTGAACTAGTATTACAGGGAGGAACAGGGCGCATGAAGCTGTCTCCCCTCCCTCCTTAAGAAGTAACTGCATGCTGAAGCCTTTTCTTTTCCTTGGAAAAAGTAGACCAGGTGTATGGCTGACTAATATAATAATCCTGGAAATGTTCACAATCTCCTGAGTCACATATTTCTGTTTTCATCAGATCAACTCAACCCTCAGTGGTTGCATTTGTCAGGAGAAAGCCTAGAAAGAAGAATGTAACTGTATTTGAAGCTGCACCCAGGGAAGTCAGCGCAGCAGTGAATGATTTACTTGAGGTTGCATGAGGAGAACATTTTTATTAGGGCATTTTAGATTTTAGAATTAGAAGGAATCCTAGAGATAACATATTTGTTCTTTCGGAATGAAAAACACAAAGCAGACCCTCCGAGGAGCCATTGTATCACATAGGACTGAGCATTGCTGGTTCAGAGCTTGACATCTGTCCCTGACACCAATATATCCAAAAGTATAGATAAGTCAAGTCCAGGTTCACCCATATCTTGATTCCAAAATAATTTTCCTTTATAAACTCTGTCAATGGTGCATGCACATTTCTGGATCCTTTATAGTATCTCACTACCATTGAGTAGACATCTACTTATAGTGAGCCTATAGGGTAAGTCAGAATTGCCCCTGGGAATTTCTGAGACTGTAACTGTGATGGGAGAAGAAAGCCCTGTCTGTTCTGTGGACCAGCTAGTGGTTTCAAACTGCAGACCTTGTGGATCTCAGCCCAACAGGCAGGATACATAGTTTACGTGTCAATGATGGCTGAAGGTTCATTGTCAGGTATGAAAATCACAGAGCAGATTTCAAATCTATTCATTTTATCTGATTCATTGCAAAATTTTCCTTCAGTACTCTTATGTAGGAAATATAATTTAGCAGTTACCCAGGTGACAATATATTTTAGAACGAGTAATAAATGAGTCATGTCTTTGAAGGGAAAATGGGTTTGTGAAATGAGAAGCAAGAAGTAAGTTCGGACTGCTTTCCTTTGATGATACCATACAAGTTAGCTCTGCAGACGGGCCATTTTAGAACCTGGGAGAACAACCCAACTTCCCTGAAACTATCCCCGTCCCCAGCGCATTGTGCAGCCCGTTTTCAGCTGGCATTTGAAGATTGATTACCCATCCCAGAGCAGCTGTAACATATTAGGTGCCATTTTAAGCAAAACTTCAATATCATACACCGACATTTGTTATTTTGTATGCCACCTCACGCAGCCAAGCGCTTCATGTCATCATAATGAATACGGTGGCTTGGAGATGGCATTCTTCCACGGGGAAAATAATGAACAAAGCAGCACGGACGACTGTGGGTGGGGAGCGTTGCTTCAGGGCCACCGCATGTGCCACAGGGTGCACTGCTCCGGGGAGTTGTGGCTGTACGTTTGAAGGACGCCCATTGCGGGATCTTTTCATTTGCTCATGAGAGGTACATGACAACTTTGACAGCCCAAGTATCAAAATAAATATTTTTAAAAGACAACACAGCTACACACAAATATCTAGGTTTGTATACTCAGGGCTCCTGTGGATTGTAACTGTCTCCACTGGAAAGGTCGTGTCTTCATGGCCTAGTGGGTCCCACATGGGCTGCTGAACGCCCACTTAACAGTTCAAAACCATCTGCTGTTCCCAGGGCAGACAGTGAGGCTTGCTACTTCCATAACGACTGGAGGGCTTGCTGGTCTTCCGTAAGAAAACCCCAGGAGGCAGTGCTCCCCTGCCCTGTGGGGTGGCTGTGAGTTAGAATGGACTCCACGACAGTGTTTTCCTCTAGAAATATTCAAGCTGACCGTCAGCAGTAGGCATGTCGTTCTTGGACTTCTGTTGTGGGTGCTGCCAAGAGGGCTTTGACTCACGACCACCCCGTGTTACAGAGCCGGACTGCCCCGTGGGTTTTCTTGGCTGTTACCTTTACAGAAACCAGGTCAGCGGGTCCTTCTCCTGAAGAGCTAGCTAGTGAGTCCGTCAGCCAGCGCTTGGGTTACCAGCCTGGCAGCAGCCAGGCTTCTTCCTGGGACCCCAAGGGCAACCTAGAGGAGAAAGTCTTTGGCAATGCCATTTTTATTTGGCAGTTCTAAAGGACACAGCCATTTCTCCATAGTTTAAACCCTATATCCACCATAGCGCCTATCGGATTAAGTCAACCAGCCCTGGAGCTTTGAGAAAAGAATCTAAATCATTGCGTTCCCAGCTCTCCAGTCCCTGGCCTCACCTCCCTCACACATTTCATCTCTCACAGTTTTCCATTCTCACTTTTTCTCTACTTTGACAATTTACTCTCCATTTTCTCAATCTATCATGCTTCAATGTTTCGGTAGTTCATTGTGCAAAACTCTTCACTCTGCCTAGAACATTCTTTTGCATTTATGTCTGATTAGTAGCTCCTTGAAGATTCAGTATATTTCTCTTTTTAGGATCACTTTCTAACTATGCCCAAGCCTCTTCTGTTCTCCCATCAATCTCTTGAAATCTCCCTAATAGTACCTGTTATTTTACATTCTTGTGTTTTATGCTATTCTGTACACTTTAAGAGAAATGAGTCCAGGATTATTTTATTCTTGAATGTATCCTCATTATGCACAAGGTGTTAGATGCAGAGTCGGTGTTTAACCAGTGCACATCACATGAATTACTGAAAATAAACTCATAGCTGTCAAAATGTGTTCAGGGAGCTTTCCAGCCTGGTCCCAGCACCATGGCTCTGCAAAGAAGCGAGGTGAGAAGAAGAAGGGCCATCCGGCTCTCAAAAGGTCATGAGCAGAGAGCGCACCATGCACATTCACAAGCGCATCCGTGGCGTGGGCTTCAAGGAGCGTGCATCCCCAGGCCCTTAAGGAGATTCCGACGCTTGCCATGCAGGAGATGGGACACCAGATGTAGAATCGACACCAGGCTCAGCAAAGCTGCCTGGGCCAAAGGAATCAGGAACGTCCCATAATGGCATCGTGTGCGGTTGTCCAGGAAAGGTATTGAAGATGAAGATTCCCCAAACAAGCTCTACACATTGGTTACCTATGTGCCTGTCACCACTTTCAGAAACCTACCGTCATTGTGGATGCACTCTAATGGCTGATGATCTAATGAAGGTTATAAAACTGCACCCAAAAAAATGTGTTCAGGGAAAATATTTTACTAAATTTACTAGGGTAAGATCAATGATAAGGGCACAATGTGTGAAACACATTAATTCATCATTCAAATATTTTTTTAATTTCATAGCTCCTAAAGAAACAGAGCATAGGATGAACATTTTTTAATTTTTAATCATTAGTTTATTTTTTAACAGTTTCACCAGCCTACAGTTAACACTTCATATACTTCAATCACATCCACAGAAGTTGTGTGACCATCACTAGAATCAATTCCAGGGCAATTCTTCATCCTTGCACCCGTTGTTTGCCCCCCATTTCCTGTCAGCCTCCCCTGAAATGTCCCTCT